GGCCCGGCTGAAGGACTCACGATCACGATCACAATACCACTGCGCATCAACAGCACAAACTGACGTGGGGGCCAGTCACTGGGCGATATCTTATGGAATAACCGATACTGTACGTTACAAGCGAGTTGACTTCACTAAGTAGGCATGTTATAAGTAAACACGCCATACAAGTAACTTACCGCACGTGCGTCAGTGACGCAGGAAATACAGGACAAATAATTCATTTCTTTATTCGGAAATATCATGTACTAGTATCAGGCACTATCACAATGCTGTTGAACGTGTATAGACCATGTGGCATATGACCTGATAACACCCTGTTGTACTGATGAACGTGTATAGACCATGTAGCATATTGATCAATTATTGACCATTCATGAGGGCAATGTCATCTTTTATGGACCAAGTGACCGAAGTCAGTATCAGCTACTTGGGTCATTAAAGCATAATATTGCTCGAATTGTGGGCAATAATTGTTTTATGACATGATATAAACATTTTTTTACACCCTGTTGTACTGATGAACGTGTATAGACCATGTGGCATATGGCCTGTTATAGCCCTGTAGTACTGGTAAACGTGTATAGACCATGTGGCATATGGCCTGATATGGCCATGTTGTACTGATGAACGTGTATAGACCATGTGTCATATGGCCTGATATCACCCTGTTGTACTGATGAACGTGTATAGACCATGTGGCCTATGGAATATCATCGCCCTGTTGTACTGATGAATGTGTATAGACCACGTGGCATATGAAAAGATATCACCCTGTTGTACTGATGAATCTGTATAGACCACGTGGCATATGAAATGTTATCGACATGTTATACTGATGAACGTGTATAGACCATGTGGCATATGACCCGATATCGCTCTGTTGTACTGATGAACGTGCATAGACCATGTGGCATATGACATTTTTTCGCCTTGTTTTAATGATAAACGTGTGAGTTAGCGAGTGAGTGAGTATGGTTTTACGCCGCAATATCACGGCGGGGGACACACATTGTACCCATGTCAGGAATCGAATCCAGGTCTTCGGCGTGACGAGCGAACGCTTTAACCACTAGGCTACCCGACCTCCCCTAAACGTGTGTAGACAACACAACATGTTTCACCTGATAGAATTCATGTCACTGGAAATTGAGATCATAATATAACTGAAAATTTAATGTTCCCTTCCTTTGAAACTGAACATTATTCCCTTTGCTCCGTAAGGAACACTAAAATGTCCTGGCAAAAATAATGATTTGGACCCGTTAAATTTCTCATTCCAAAACAGTAAAATCATAGGACAGCCTATTGGGCGTGTGTTCAGTCTAATCGACCAACAGTAGTCATCTTACAATGCATGTGAGAGTAAGTTTTGTTTTTAGCCACTTTTAGCAGTACATCATGATAACACGACGGGGATATGTTGTATTGTACATCCGGATTACTCCGATTATATCATAAAAGAAGCGACACAACCCTTTCTACAGTCACAAGAAACGCCTGTTTCCGACTGTACCAGGAGCATGTGTTCATGAACTGCTTTCAGATAGTGATGATGCCAGGTGTTCGCGAAAAGGTAAGTGAATCATGCCCAGCGGTGGCACATGTCACAAGCACATGCAAAGGCAAGGCATGAACAAAGGTACATGATCATATGCTGGAGTGTAGAATAAAGCCGCCAATTCATGTCCTCAAAGATACAATTCATGTACTTACACTTCATCAGTAATCATATGGTTGTTCTGCTTCCGGTTCCGCATCTGCGCAGGGCCTACAGGCGCACTGTAGTGCCGCCCATTGTCGCCATCTTAGTTTACCCCCCGGTCGGGAAGGGCACGTGAACTCAATGTAGCGGAACCTCCTCGCGTGGGGCTTGCAGCACGTGCAGTGTTCCACCATCTCCATGACTTGGTTGTTGTACCGCCATTCCGGAACATTACGGGAGTGACAGGTCCCCCGACACGACACCGTCACGATGGACTTTGGGGCACATCCGGGAAAGCGGATTGTGGTCATGCGCAGTTGTTGGCGGCATGTTTCCTGTGCGGAGTAATATTCATGCCTATCTGCACCACTCTCCGGAAGCATGACGTCAGAAGACGTTACGTGCAGCAGACATACAAGGAACGCACTCCGTACCAGCAACATCCTAGATATTCAACTTCCCATAACAAAATCTCAACACTACTTTTATACGTCTTTTGTGTTAGCTTAAAGAGCTGCAACGAACTTAAATATCTACCTGAAGGTGACCATGCCGTGAATTATCCGTTTATACCACGTATTGTAATTGTCAGGCGGGTGTCTGGTGGAGCCTGGTGTGTATTGCGAACTGCATGGGGAGGTATGTAGTCTTCATGTAGACGACTTGTTAATGTGCCTGGTCGTGTGCGTTATTGTATAACATGCATACACAGGTCCAGAATGCCCCCTTCGAATCACCTTTGACAACAATGGCTGTTATATTAATTATTTCTCATTGATAAAATAATGTAGATCATGTGGGCCGGGAAAGCAGTCGTCACTTGTCCATATTGTCACATAGCTGGAATACTGCTGAGTGCGGCTATAAACAACACTGAAGACACACATGCAATGTTATACAATCAACAATTGAACATTTATTATAAAAAGCAGTAGCTTTACAAATCAACATGAATTACTGCAAGCTATTACAATGACAGTTATACAATAGAGGACAAAATTCAAAGGTAGCACAATTACAATGAAATAACCGACAAGATTAGTGGCAATAGCAAAAGAATTTATGGCTGGACATCCAAGGTGAGAAGATGATCTTAATACAACCGAGGGTCTCTCTCTCTCTCTCTCTCTCTCTCTCTCTCTCTCTCTCTCTCTCTCTCTCTCTCTTGATTGTCACGTGATTTCCTGTAAGTGACATTGAAGAGTTGTAGTATCGATCAAAGCAGAATTAGGGTGATTATGGTGTGACGCCGACTTGACCATCATTCCAGAATATCACGAGTATACCAGAAATGGGCTTCACAAATTGTACTCATACCCAGGGAATGAAGCCCAGGCATTCGGCGTGACGAGCGAACGCTTTAACCAGGAGGCTTCCTCATCGTCTCCACTGTGATGATAAAGTCATCATTAGCCCGTTATTGATTAAGTACTCTGAAACACCGGTCATTCAGTGAAAGACACAAAGAGAAGACTGGCTGAGACGGCATGCACTTAACACACAGCTATCGACAATACATGACCTGTTAGAGTAATGGCAGACCGCGGTGGACGCTCAGATAAGAGATAAGATAATATATGACTTCAATATCCAAATGGAATTTCATTTTGACAGCCATCTGGCCATCAACAAATTAAATACCGTAAGCTTTATGGACTCGCTATTTTAGTTCTGCATCTATTCAGTGATGTTTGAGTGCATCAATAATCTACCAGTTGTCCTTCTTGGTGCCCTGATCGGGGCAAGCCACGTTGTTACACAAGGCACTCAAGTACCTTAGCAGTGTTGTCATTAGATGCATGGAGGGAAAGAGAGGAAGGGGGCGCTGAGTGGAGGCGCTGTGTGTGTGTGTGTGTGTGTGCGTGTGTGTGTGTGTGGGGGGGGGGGGGGGGGGCTACTTCATATATTATCACTGAAGGGGTCGTTGTCAGCACGACTACTACAGATATGTACCCAGGTACGTTGCTGTATACCCTAGCCAAAATCAGAAACGTACCCCAGGACGAGTCCATTCGGCATTGCGCACAGCGCTTGACCGGTTCCTTTCATAATGCTTACTCACTTCGCCTCATTTAGAATTTCGGTGTACTTTGGAAACATACGGAAACACTTGGGTATTTTGGATAAATGAAGTTTGAAATAAAAGTATTGACATAGTCTGCACTGTAACATTTACAACCTGATGTGTCCAAGCTTCACCAACTGTCCTGTTATAGAACGCTAATCAGTTTCAACATCACGAGATATAACACAATGAACATTGTATTATTCAAACACATGTTCAATGAAACAGGAATGTACTCTAATGTTCCAATTCTTGCAGATCCTAGATTTACAGTTTTCTGACCATACAAAAACTGAAACTACTTGTTTATTAAGACTGCCATGTTCAACTTCCTTTGTGAAACAAGCAGGGGTAACCAACCCATGGCTCCACTCGCAGCAGCCACAGACGTGTACTTGCCAACTCCAACAAAGTACTAACATGCCCTATTCTGGATTCTAGGTATACACCGTGTATACCGTAGCTGCGCCGTCGGTGATAACTGGTAAAACAACCGAATTATATAATTTACTGAAAACGTTATATGGCATATCACCCATAGCTTTACATTTAGGGATAAAAACACCAAGAGCCCTAGTGGCTGATTGCGTGATTGCTTTGCTACAACTTTGTGGTATAGATGTCCCTTCAGCAATAAACCCAGACTTGTGTTTAATCACAACATCCACGACAATGATACCCCAGCTACATATTGCGGAAATACTAGGACCCGACTGATTGGGGAAGTGTGTCACATTCGACTCTCCAGCATTGACATTCATTTTGTTTCTACAGCACCACAAATTCCAGCAGTTCAGCAACCGTCCAGACATCTTCCCGAGGCAAGAGAGCTAACTGACTTTAAAAGTCCAGTTTCCACCCTTGCCGAACTAGGCTGGAATTACTGGGCTCGATCGTTGCGCCACCAGTGGCTATTACAAATTATGTCCCTTCTCAGCCTCTCCTATGGACCAATCAGATTCCACCTCTCGTATCACTTGCGTTTACTTCACACGAAATGGTGGCGCTCAGTCAGGACGATCTGCTCGATAATCAAGATCTATATTGTGATAAAACAGGTCTTACATCGCGAAATGCATCAAATCACGTGAGCACCTTATTTAAAAACATGAAAAGATTTGGAAAATATCTGCTGACAACGAGTTGGCGGTGCACATGCTTTGCAAATCCTGCAATCGATCGAAATCTGCACGACAGTTTACGAACCGGATTTTGATTTCGGTGCGCGATTTTGATTGGACTATGCATAGACTCGTTAGTCCAGACAAAATGTAACTCCATAATACCAGCCTAGCTCGGCAAGGGTGGAAACTCGACTTTTATAGTCAGTTTACTCTCTTGCCTCGGGAAGATGCCGTCCAGCATGCAGTGACGACAACCAGACAACAGAATACATAGACGGTCATTGTCAACAGTCAACCTTTACCGAGTTCCTAAGGTACGAAATAAATCGTTGATGTAGATATTAAATAACACATAATACAAACACTCTGTTTGACTCCACAGCCTACACTAAACTGGTCAGTGTAAAAGCCGTTAATCCTCACACAACTAGACACATTGTAGTATTTTGCGTGTAGAGCATTTCTCATGTTTCCCGTTAGCCCCAGACCGTCCAGTTTCTTCCACAACATATATCTATTTACCGAGTCATAATTCTTTTAAAAAACAACCTGAATACGTCGGAGTTTTCGATGAATAAATAAACCTGTATAGGTAGATACGTTTAAAGTTTTTTAGAACACTTGCATAACACATGTGACATGTGACCCTCAATGTGCCAAGTGCACATTTCATGGAGTTTTTTTTATATATACTGACGGAAAAAAAGTTAAACAACTTAAATTGTTTTCATATATCTAAAACTTTACTGTATCCCATTGGAAATGTCTGCATATGACGCAGGTGTCGTTTTGATTAACTGTCTCTGAAAGCTTCAGGGCGGTTTTGACAGCAACACTGTACGTTACTCCTGATTGTCGCAAATACCTGGCCATACCACGTTAAGGGGCACGGGAGGTAACTGAAAGGTGGCCAAATAACTGGTGTCGGGGAGCCCTCACAAAATGTCATTTGATACCTGCTTCAGTTTCTGTATTTTGATATGTATGTCACTGTCAACAAAAGTAGCTGTTTTTCCCCTTATTTTTTTTAACTTTTCTTATGGAAATATATTATAAGTGGTGCTTAACTTTTTTAAGGCGCATATATAGTTACGTCTTGTTGCTGCTGACTCTAGTGTACGCGGGTCACCTGACACTGTCTTGTGCCCGCCAGTGTTACGTCACTTCATCTGTGACACCGGAACTGTATATCTCGTGTAAATTCGCACCGGATGTACCTCGGACACCTCATTTTTGTGGTGTTATTTGTCTCCACATTGTTAAATCACCGTATCTGTGACACCTCTTTTCTGTGGTATTAGTCGTCCACACATTGTTAAATCACCCTATCTGTGACACTTCATTTCTACGGTATTGTTCGTCCACACATTGTTAAATCACCGTATCTTTGACACCTCTTTTCTGTGGTGTTACTTGTCTATACATCATGAAATCAGTATTTCTGTGACACCTCATTTCTGTGGCATTAGTCCTCCACACATTGTTAAATCGCCGTATCTGTGACACGTCATTTCTGTGGTGTTACTTGTCTATACATCATGAAATCAGTATTTCTGTGACAACTCATCTGTGATATTATTCGTCTACTCATTGTTAAATCACTGTATCTGTGACACCTCATTTCTGTGATGTTACATGATGAAATCACTGTATCCGTGACACTTCATTTCTGTGTTTTATTCGTCTACACATCGTTAATTCACTGTAGCTGTGACACTGCATTTCTGCGGTGTTACTTGACCTCTGCAGACATAGGAGGACTTCAGGGGCAGACCCTTATCCCAACCCCCGCCCTACATCTGGGGGCCACGGGTCAGCTGCTCATTGGCAGCTCATCCTCTCTCACCGTCGATGACCTCTTGGTGTTGGTGACGTAAGTGCTGCCACGTCGCTGACTCAAAACCGTCTTCAGGAAGTGGAACCGGAACTGCCTGGCCGCGAAGAAGTACAGGAAGAAGTTGATGGCGTGGTTGGAGTCGGCGAACATGGAGGTGAGCACATCCACGAGGCGATGTCGCACCTGCTCCATCGGAGACTGCGGAGGGTCCCCTGTGATGATGAGGATGACGGCACAGCGAGGGATGGTGAGGATGACAAACACTATGGTTACGCTGATCAGCATGATGGTGATCTGGGTGTCATGGTTGCCAGAAACCCTCTGTGGTTTCTTGGAGACGTCCCTCTCTACGGTCAGCTGGCGGCGAAGTTTGGATGACGTCTGAATGCTGCGGACGATGAGGAAGTTGAACATGATGAGGACGCTGCAGGGGATGAAGGCGTAGACGAACGCGCTGATCCAGTACCACGTGTCTGCGGTGAAGTGTCTGTAGTCGGGGGAGTAGCTGCAGCCATGGACAGCGTTGACCATTGTCCAGAAAATATGCATATGTAAGATACAAAGGAGGCTAAATAAGACGACGGTGAGGACCAGGGCGCGACGTAGAGTCCAAATGCTGGCTACTCTTAGAGGAAACCGGACAGCCATGAACCGTTCTGTCGCCATGGCAACCAGTATCCAATTAGAAAAGGCAGCTGTGACGAGTCCAAAGAAGCACATGAACCTACAACCAGGTACTGAGAAGGCATTGGGGTGGTGCAACAGCTCCATGAATATTGTTTTGAGGATCAGAGCGACGTTGTCTACGGTCGCTAACACGGCCACGTAAAATGTGGCTGACTTTAGTCGTGACATTCTCAGAATGGTCACAATGCTAGCGAGGTTGCCAGGGAAGCCAAGAACCAGGATGAACCACATGTAATATCTTTCCACATTGCCTATAACAGTTAAAGTGTAGACATATTCTTCGTTTGACGTCAGTGGTGTGCCTTGTGACGTCATGTTGACGTCACTGTAGACAGATCTGACTTTCCAATCCAAGCTGCTGTTCCCGGTGTCAACGTGTGTGGTCAATATGTTGACAGGGGATGACAAAGAGCTCCCTGTTGTGTAAGGTGACGCCATCTCTACGCCAACAGCAGGTTGGCCGTTTTACCCCATCTGAAACAGAATATAGATATCTTATTTTACAAACAAACTCAACAATTTAAATGTTATTTGTCTCACATCATCCCACAAGCTGAAGGGTGATTAAAGGCGCAACAGCTTGCTATACAGAGTTGCGTCCCTTTGTTTGTGCTGATCTGCAAAGAGCATGGGTTCGAATCCGTTCTTTTTTGGTAAAGTGTTTGAGAGAGTTGTATTTAAGCATCTTTATAACTACTATAAATACCAGTCCGGCTTTCAAAAAGGCCATTTCACTGTCCATCAATTAATTGAATTGTATAAGCAAATGTGTATATCTTTAGATAATAAAAGAAATATTGCATGTTTTTTTGCGATGTGTCAAAAGCATTTGATCGTGTATGGCATAGAAGGCTTATGTACAAATTAGAAATGTAAGGTATAAAAGGGAATTTACTTGAATGGCTGTCTAGTTACATAAGCAATCGTACTCAATCAGTGTTTGTAAGCTCTGTCCATGCCAAGGATTTTGAAGGCTGGCGTTCAACAGGCGTCGGTGTTAGGTCCCTTTTTATTCATTGTATTTGTTAACGACATTGCTGATGAACTAGATTGCATAACAAGACTCTTTGCTGACGATACAGCACTCGGCTTTTCCTTCACCAGACAATCAACTTGTTTAATCAACTCTAAATTTAAATCTGTGCAAGCTGTGTTACTGGGCAAAACGCTGGTTAATTAAATACAACCCAGATAAAACAGAAGAGGTTATACATTGCCCCAACTTATGTTAAAGACATTGTACCAACCACTGTAGGTTCACATATATCATATAATTTAAGAAATTCGGACACTATTGAGATTCCATATACTAGATTAAAACACTCAACGTGTTCTTGTCTTCCATCAACTGTAAGGTTATGGAACACTATTCCTGCAGCAGGTAGAAATTGTACATCTACATCCCAATTCGAGACATACATACAAAAAGTTAAATTATGATTTATACAGAATAGAGATAAAAATCGATCCAATATGTCAATATGGTAATCCATGTGAAAACGCATATCATTATTTATTAAAGTGTCCATTGTACGTCCACCAATGAAAAACTATATGTTAATAATAATTCGGGACATTTTACAGAACGCCGTGAACAAAAATGTTAAATTAGATTTAAGTTTGATGTTAAACGGAAATGAGATTTGGGTAACACTTTAATGTACATATACCAGTCTCTCTTTTGTACATTTCTTGTTATCTTTACACTCATCTTCTTTTCTGTTTTCCTTGTATATGATTTACTGTACAAGCTTTTGTAAATACCATGGAGAGGGAGTCCTAAGTTGGATAACTTGTTCCCAATCGATTTCAATCTGAATAAAATATGTTTAAATCAAATCATCCGTGCTTCTCCCTGACTTAATTCCTTACTACGACGTGTTGTATCTCTCTACGTTCAGAAAACAAATTTAAAACTAATGTCCAAAAGAAACGATACCACACATTTTTCTAAATATTTTATTATGAAGAGTTAATTTTCGTCTGAAAAGGTATTTTTGCGTATCCTACGTTCCAATCCTACGTATTCGGTCGATAAAACCGGGAACATTTGATCAATTGAGAAAAAAGGGTGCAATTTGCACAAATGACGTTCCGTCCCGTAACACGGAATGCACGTGCTTATCTTCTGTGTAAAACTGCTGACCCGACACGTTGGGATCACAGCAACAAAGAGCACACAAAAGAAATGCCACGTTTGACAGCGATTGGAGACCAATTGCTCCATAAACATATGAGTCATGTGAGTAAATATGGGATTTTCAGTGGTCGTTCATATACTCTTCCCCACTATGTTGCCTTTTACTCCCAATGGTACCTGTATCGGCAGACAATGGGGTATGGTAATAGTCTGGCGCTGTCCGTGTTATGTCCATGTCAGTCATACGAGAAGGGTGTGTCCGTGTTATGTCCATGTCAGTCATACGAGAAGGGTGTGTCCGTGTTATGTCCATGTCAGTCATACGAGAAGGGTATGTCCGTGTTATGTCCATGTCAGTCATACGAGAAGGGTGTGTCCGTGTTATGTCCATGTCAGTCATACGAGAAGGGTGTGTCCGTGTTATGTCCATGTCAGTCATACGAGAAGGGTGTGTCCGTGTTATGTCCATGTCAGACATACGAGAAGGGTATGTCCGTGTTATGTCCATGTCAGTCATACGAGAAGGGTGTGTCCGTGTTATGTCCATGTCAGTCATACAAGAAGGGTGTGTCCGTGTTATGTCCATGTCAGTCATACAAGAAGGGTGTGTCCGTGTTATGTCCATGTCGGTCATACGAGAAGGGTGTGTCCGTGTTATGTCCGTGTCAGTCATACAAGAAGGGTGTGTCCGTGTTATGTCCATGTCAGTCATACGAGAAGGGTGTGTCCGTGTTATGTCCATGTCAGTCATACAAGAAGGGTGTGTCCGTGTTATGTCCATGTCAGTCATACAAGAAGGGTGTGTCCGTGTTATGTCCGTGTCAGTCATACAAGAAGGGTGTGTCCGTGTTAATGTCCATGTCAGTCATACAAGAAGGGTATGTCCGTGTTATGTCCATGTCAGTCATACAAGAAGGGTGTGTCCGTGTTATGTCCATGTCGGTCATACGAGAAGGGTGTGTCCGTGTTATGTCCATGTCAGTCATACAAGAAGGGTGTGTCCGTGTTATGTCCATGTCAGTCATACAAGAAGGGTGTGTCCGTGTTATGTCCGTGTCAGTCATACAAGAAGGGTGTGTCCGTGTTAATGTCCATGTCAGTCATACAAGAAGGGTATGTCCTTGTTATGTCCATGTCAGTCATACGAGAAGGGTGTGTCCGTGTTATTTCCATGTCAGTCATACGAGAAGGGTATGTCCGTGTTATGTCCATGTCAGTCATACGAGAAGGGTGTGTCCGTGTTATGTCCATGTCAGTCATACGAAAGGGGTATGTCCGTGTTATGTCCATGTCAGTCATACGAGAAGGGTGTGTCCGTGTTATGTCCATGTCAGTCATACGAGAAGGGTGTGTCCGTGTTATGTCCATGTCAGTCATACGAAAGGGGTATGTCCGTGTTATGTCCATGTCAGTCATACGAGAAGGGTGTGTCCGTGTTATGTCCATGTCAGTCATACGAGAAGGGTGTGTCCGTGTTATGTCCATGTCAGTCATACAAGAAGGGTATGTCCGTGTTATTTCAATGTCGGTCATACGAGAAGATTGTGGATAACTAAGACTATTCCAATCAGATTTACAAATTCTACATTAATTTGCGTCTGAATGTCACATTCAAAGATTAGCCTGTGACAAGGCAGTGCTTTATCAGAATACAGAATAATTACTGAAAAATCTACTCATTTCCTGATGCCCGACGTTAAGCTATTAATGGTACACAATACCTCGTTAAACTGTAAATATATTTTATAGATACAAATAAAAACAAAATATAAGAATTATTGAACTTATAGCTACAATACACGTTTGTTCCTTTTGTTTAGTGACGTGTGTATATCCCTTCAGAATAAGATGACTCCATATTACTCTCTAAACATTAAACATTCACTCACTCCAACTCCTGATCGCAGGCTCGCTAGGGGGAGGGCAGCGTGAACACTTTGCTCGGGTAATTGTTCTGCCTTCAGGAGACGGAAGCCCAGGTCGTTACAACAGAGACAGCCAGATGCAACACCGAGATGCGGGTGAAAACTCGATGATGTATGCTTATCCTGTTAAAAGTGTTCAGTCTCTGAGTGCTTTATTTCCTCACGGACAGGAACCTGGAGTCTCTCAGGATGCCTTCCAGCTCAAAGTGGTAAAACCGTGTTGTTACGTTTGATCAAACAAACACAATTTACGTAAAATGCATTTCGTTTCAATCACTGGAACACTTTTTTTCTGACGCGCTATTTGAAAACCTATGAAATGCGATCGTTGGACATTTGGACTACTTTAACTTAAAAGAGTTAAAAAAACATGGAGTGTTGTATATAGTGGCGTGAATAGGACTATACAATTTCTCAATAAACCGCTATTTAAAATAGCATGCGTAATGGTCAGGATGAACGAAGGAGTACATGCCACGGTGTTAAAACGTCATGCCAGGTAATGGCTTATAATATAACTAATATAATAAATCAATGTCATCCGGGTCACTGACTGAAGCACGTCACGTGTCATCCCATTCTCTGACTGTAGCACGTCACGTGTCATCCCACTCACTGACTGTAGTACGTCACGTGTCATCCCACTCACAGACTGTAGTACGTCAAGTGTCATCCCACTCACAGACCGTAGTACTTCACGTATCATCCCACTCACTGACTGTAGCACGTCACGTGCCATCCCACTCACTGACTGTAGTGCGTCACGTGTCATTCCACTCACAGACTGTAGTACGTCACGTGTCATTCCACTCACTGACTGTAGTACGTCACGTGTCATCCCACTCACTGACTGTAGTGCGTCACATGTCATCCCACTCACTGACTGTAGTACGTCACGTGTCATTCCACTCACAGACTGTAGTACGTCACATTTCATCCCACTCACTGACTGTAGTACGTCACGTGTCATTCCACTCACTGACTGTAGCACGTCACGTGTCATCCCACTTACTGACTGTAGCAGATCACGTGTCATTCCACTCACAGACTGTAGTACGTCACGTGTCATTCCACTCACAGACTGTAGTACGTCACGTGTCATTCCACTCACAGATTGTAGTACGTCACGAGTCATCCCACTCACTGACTGTAGCACGTCACGTGTCATTCCACTCACAAACTGTAGTACGTCACGTGTCATTCCACTCACAGACTGTAGTACGTCACGTGTCATTCCACTCACAGACTGTAGTACGTCACGTGTCATTCCACTCACTGACTGTAGTACGTCACGTGTCATCCCACTCACTGACTGTAGTGCGTCACGTGTCATCCCACTCACTGACTGTAGCACGTCACATGTCATCCGATTCACTGACTGTAGTGCGTCACGTGTCATCCCACTCACT